AGAGTGAGGACCTGAACAATACAATCTAGTTGGCATCAACTCAGTTTGCAGACTTCCCTCCATCTACTGTAAGCACCAGGCGGATGGGAGAGGGAAGGACCGCAGCGGCCACACAGTTCCTCGCAGCATCTCATCTGACGGTATTTCAAAACCCGCAGGCTGTTTCCAGGGCTCCTGAGACTTCAGGAGGACACGCCCCAGTGAAGTGAAGGATTAAGCAGGGCGTGAAGGGAGCCTCAATAACAAGATGAAAGGAGAGGAGTTGAAGAATCCGTGCAAAGGAAGAGAAGGGTGTCTGGGAGGGGACCCGCATTTGCTGATGGTGTCTGTGGTCAGCTCATGCTGTTTCAGTAAAAGCCTCAGTAGAAACAGGCCCAGTATGACCGAAAGAAACCTTGTCGATTTGTGAAAAAATGAATTTCAGTACACAGAATCTTCATTTTCAGATTTGCCCTACCGAATTTGAAGAAAAAGAAATGCCCCAGCAGCAATCTCAGTAAAATGAGGTGGTGATTTGCACATAATCGAATCAACAAGAGCAAACCTTTTAAAACCAATTTTAATATGTCTTTATTGTAGTTACATTAGCTCCTGGGGTTAATGTGAGAGTCTTGCTAATAATAGCTTTTATATAAAATTGGTTGTAAGAAGAGAGGTAGTTATTGTCCCAGGTTCATTATAATCCATTCCCTAATTTCACAGCTAGTAAATCAACTTGCAGTATGAGCTGTTGGAGCGGTTCCTTTAACCCAGGCCTTGGATTCAAGAATGGGCAGCTCTGCTTTGGGCTGCCAGGTGACTTGAATAATGTGTGTACTTTAGAGCAGCGGTCCCCAACTTTTTTGGCACCAGGGACCTGTGCTCCTATGAGAATCTGATGCCTGATGATCTGAGGTGGAGCTGGGGCAGTGATGCTAGCGCTGAGGAGCAGCTGCAAATACAGATGAAGCTTCACTCGCTCGCCCACCGCTCACCTCCTGCTGTGCAGCCCGGTTCCTAACACACCACAGACTGGTACTGGTCCGCAGCCTGGGAACTGGGGACCCTGGCTTTAGAGTGTTGACATAGTCAGTGGGACTCATCAAATCTAATACTCATTTTTACATTCTTTCATAGAAAAGTGGATTCAGATTAGGATCAGCCTTATTAATGAACACCCCGGACATAATCAGGCACCTTCCCCAAGGCTACGTTTCTCATGCAATGTCCTTGTTCTGGGGATGTGACTAAACACAAAGTTCTGATAAGTAGTGTATGTTCAATGTAGATTATAAACTGGAAGTCAGGCTGACATTTGGCCCGATCGTGCTGAAGCAGCTATTTTCAGCTTTGTCAGATTAAATTTATAGCCTAATGAACATTTTTGGAGGCCTGTAGCTGATTCCTCATCTATTTAAATTTCAGTAGCTTCTCTAATCTCTAATCAGATTAGCATAAAATGACAAACCTTAGTAGTCATTTGGTTATTCTCATTGCCTCAAGAAGGTCAGTAGTAAACTGTTCAGAGACTCATGGTTTCCATTCTTGTCCTTTTCCAAAGGGACAGATTCTCATCCTCAGTGGCCCATGACAGGATTTTATCATTCTCACTTAAATCTAGCTTGAGTCTTTCCTGCTTTAATTCAATTTCCTTTTCCATTTAGGTCTTCAGAAGTCATGGGGAATAATCGTTCGATATCTCCTTCATAAAACCTTCCATGAACTTGAAAACAGCAACCAGGTATATTCAGAGGCTTCTCTACCATAAGATAGAACCCGATTCTTTTTAACTTGTGATTTTGACTCTGTTTCCTCCAACAGAAGGCTCCTAAATCCCCTCTGTTTTCTCCCCATGTTATTAAGTGTGGTAATATACTGTTAGGATGTATTCAGGGGTTAATTATCTGTCAGTGAAATCTGTAGTGTCTAGCTCAACCGTGGAAGATGTGTCTGCTGTAGTCTTTAGCAGGTCAAGGATGTCCTCTTGTTGTAACCTGTCTGCAACAATTCCAGATACCCCATGCAATAATGCCTAGTAAAAGGGGGGCAGGGTCTCCTCCATAAGTCTCTCTATACTGTACGAAAAGCCTTTTTCCAAAGCTCCCTAAATGACTTAATCTCAGATCTCATTGGCTAGGATTGGGCCACAGGCCAGGGGAATAGGATTGCCAAGGGTGCCCGTATTTACATTGTATTTACATTAGCTCCTGGGGTTACCATCCAGTCGCCATGCACGCCCCCACCCCAGCTTGGCAAGAGGACTCATTTCCTGAGTACATAGCTTTGTGGAGAGGGAACCTTCAAATGAAATCAAGGCTCTGCCAGCAAGGATAAAGGGGGAAGGGGCAGCAATGGCTGTTAGGCAGGCAATCGCTGTGTTTACCACAGGTGAACAAAAATGGGAGCAAACTATTCTCCACATAGTTCAAAATATTGACAATAACACAACAAAACTAGCCATTACCGAAAACTCATTAAGTGCAGGTACTGCGAGAGCTGGCGGGCACACAAACATGAACACCATGCGGTCTATGACCTGACAAGCTGGCAATCAAGATGAGGAGATACTTCTCATATAATTTTAAAATCGTACAGTAAGTGATAAGAGAGAGGCATGCACAGAATGTTCTAGAAGCACAGAGAAGGAACCCTCAGCTCAACTGAGGGTACGATTCTTGGGGAGAGGCCACGTGGACCGGCTGTACATGCTGAGAATGAGTTAGGCTAAGAAAACGAGACTTGGGAGGAACTATGGGGTATGTGACTCTTGATTTTCTAGTCGTTGTATAATATTTTATATTTTATTATTATGGCTCATCTAAAGTTGACGAAATAGAAAATCCTTTCAAGCCTTGAGGGTGGTGTGCATTTCAAGGGTCATTTCCCATGAGTTCATTTTTTCACATTTTGTATCTGGATGAAATCCATTTTATGATCAGTGAATTCCATATTTCAACAAGGAAGCCACTCATCCAGTAGGAAAATGTGTGAGGGAGTGAAAATGAATGCAGTACTGATCGCTATGATGTCACTGGCTCTGTAAATGGGCTTGTTTTTAAGTATTATAAGAAACTTTGGTAATTTGGATTCAGGGAGAACCAGTCAGAATGAGTGGAAGTCTGTCACTTAGAATAGTTTGATTACTTTTACTAATGTGTATCATAAGAGGAGATAGCAAAGAGTTGCTCATGAGGCATGCATTTTAAATAGATAAGAAGGATTTCCTTAGCACATTCAGTATCTCTAAAAGTTCTCCTCCAATGGCAAGAGACACTGGAAAACAAGCCGTTCTTTACTCCTGTATCTTTTTTTATTTTTTACATGATTTACAGTTTATTAGGAAATCTTTGCTTTAACAGATGTAAACTTTAGCCTGATCTCTGTTGAGTTTACTAAAGAATTATGAATATGTAAAGAATACATGCTTTTAAAAATGTTCTAGATCCATCATTGGAGTTCTATATGCATGTTTACATTTAAAATACAGTCCTCTTATAAATCAATAAGAAAAAGAAAGATTTCAATAACGCCGAGACTAAAGTCATAATCAGGCAATTCAGGATAACAAGTTATATAAAATAGGGTTAGATGGCTCAATAATCAAAGAAATGAAAATTAAACCAAATTGGCAAAAATTTTTGTAAAAAGATAAATCGATAAGTAAAGTGCTCATGCCCAGGGCTGGTGAGAGTGTGGAGAAATGAGCATCGATGTTTTATTCTATATTCAGAGATGTATGTTTAAAGATATTTATTCTGGAACTGTTTGTTTTCTCGCAAAATTTTAAAATAACTTGAGTGTCCATTAATAAAGAATTGATTTAATTAAATAATGGTATATTCATGCAATGGAATACTATACTACACATCTGTTTAAAAGAATGAGGTATATCTATACGTACTGACCTTTAAAATTTCAAGATATATTACGTTAACAAAGCAAGGTACAGAACAGAATAAAAGTTATCTATATGTATGTATGTGGAAATATTAATAATTATATTTTCTGGAAGGATGTACAGGAAACAGTGTAATATAGTGGTTCCCTTCAGGGAAAAGGGCTGGAGAGAGAGAAAGGATGGCAGACTTCTACTTCACTTTGTATCTTTCCGTGTGGTTTGAATCTGTGCAAGAGTTGCTTTATTTTAAAACATGAAATGTGTTTTAAAAAAAAAGAATAGGTCTCATCTTCATGGTTTGACATGTAAAAACTCCACTATAAGAAGAGAAAAAGCAGGAACAGAATAATCAGAATGTTATGATCCTGTTAATGATTCTGTTTAGACAGAGCTCTACATGCAGACCTGTATAGTATTTGTATTAAAAAGTCTGGAAGGAAATACCCTGAACTATATCATCAGTGCAGCCACCCTAGACAATGTGAAGAAGTGTCCAGATCACAGAAATCTTTACTTTCTCTGTACTGTTTAATTTTGTACAGTGGATTATCAGAAAGGAAGATATAAATTTTTCCAACTGGGAATCACTCCTGCCCACTCTATGCAAAAACAAGGGTTTGGCTCAGTCTCTCACCTGGTTCTTCTAAGCTTACTCTCACCTATTTCCCTTTTAAATTTCACCTACCAGGGAAGGCTTTGTGGTCAGGAGTGGGATAGGTGAGAAATCTCTCCTCTGATCGGACTTATCTACCCAAGTCTTGCCTAACTAGAAAAACTGGAAAATCAAAATTAAAAACAGAACATCCAAACAGAACACTGAAAACTAGCCCAACCTGTCAATGAAATCAGCATGTTTTAGTGTACCACCGGTTTGTGCACAGAGCTAGCAGCCATCTGAAAGGAAAGGAGCGGAGCCATAGACTGAAGATCCAGGACCCCGTGCCCCCAGAGACGACCTGCGGGACACCCCCCCCCCCACACACACAATTTGAACCTCACATTGTGCTCACCGGCTCATCATGTCTGTTGCCCTATCTTAGGAGGTTGGTATGAGGATCTGGTAAGACAGGAGGAGTGCTATGGAAATGAAAGGTGGTCCTCCACATCAGTGTGTAAGCCCTGGAGGATCCGACTGCTCTCTCGAGTTTGTTTTGTTATGAATATTGCCTAGAAAATTAGGAGAATACGAGATGTTCATTGACCCCCAAATTCTCTGATTTTATTAAGAAAATACTGTGACAACCCAGTCTCGACAATTCATCTTTTCAGTTGCTTTTCATCTCATGATCTCAAAACACTGAAATATCACTTCCAGTCTTAAAACATGACTGCACAATAACGGACGTGAGTTGCTGTTGGGCAACCAATAGTACCTGTGTTTACACATATTCCAGCATTCCCTCCTCCCCCCACCGATAATAAGAATAAGTTTTTCGTTACTGGTGAGAGCCACTATTACAGAAAGAAAAGGCAGCTCAGATGTGTCCCAGCGCTGGAGGAGAGCTTAGAAAAGAGAAACCTCAGTCGAAAGTACACATCAGATTCCCACTTCATTCAGGGAAAGGAAGAGGAGATTGAGCAGGCCCACACAAGGGGAAGTGGCTAAGCAGAGGTTTCTAACGCCAAGGCCGCTGTTTAACCTATGGAGCAGCCCTTCTTTGCATTTGTTTGAATCTAGTTACTGCAGAACATTCCACATGCTGGCCCACGAAACAAAAGAGAGTAATTTTTCTTGTAAGTTGAGAAAGTATTTAAATGGTGAGGTTGATGACTGTCGTTGCCTGGATCATGTCCTTTAAAACAGATATGTTGAAGTACTAACCCCCAAACCTCAGAATGTGGCCTTATTTGGAAACAGGGTCTTTGCAGATTTAATCAAGTTAAAATGAGGCCATTAGGGTGGGCCCTAATCCAATATGACTGGTGTCCTTATAGAAAAGAAAAATTTGGATGCAGAGACAGATACACACAGAGAGAAGAAGACGTGAAGACACAGGGTGGACACAGAGAGGGGACAGAGGACTGGAGTGATGCATCTATACGCCAAGGAACGCCTGAGGCTGCCGGAAGCTCGGATTGCAGCATGGAACAGATCCTTCCCTAGCATCTTCAGAGGGAGCATGGCCCTGCCAACACCTTGATTTTGGACTTCTGGCCTCCAGAATTGTGAGAGAATAAATTTCTCTTTATTAAATAGATATCCACCCAGTTTCTGATTCTCGTTATGGCAGCCTAAAGAAACAAATACATCTGCTCGAGTTGCGTGTCCTTAACCAGGGCCAGAAAAAAGACGGGTGAAGCCTCAGCCTATTCCTGCGTGGGATGCTTGCGCAACAAAGTAAGTAACAAGAGTTCGTGGCCTTTCCATTGTGGTGGTGGGTTTTTTGGGAACACTCAGCCTGGAGGTAGTTTTCTTCCTGTGCAATGCAGAGAACCAGTAAACCCCACCCTTTGTAGCAGGACAGAGAGGAGAGGCGCAGGGGCAAGCCGAGCATACCGTCTTGACCTGGACCATGGCTTGGCTCTGTGCAGGAGCTAACACTGTGTACACAGCTACTTAAAGCCCAACCTTCTAACCAAATGGAGACAGACAGGGGTAGAACGCCCCAAAGGGGAGAGATGCCCTGAGACCATGCCAACCATCAGGAATCAAGGGCAGGAGGGTTTGTTCGCAAACAAAACCGAACCTGAAAATCTCAAGAATACCAGGAACTGGACCTTATCTAGCCAAGGCAAGGATGTTCTTGTTTCGTTTTTGTTTCTTGTTTCTTTTTATTTTAAAACTTCCTTAGAGGAGAAAAATTAACACTAAAATTGAAATCCCAGTCATAATTTTTGCATGTATATTTGTGAACATATAATTATTCCTCTGTGTGTGTGTCGTTCTATTATGTGGATTGAGTTCTCAAGCCATCCTTTTGTCATCTTTTTGAAGCCAGGAAATATAAACGAAAATCCTCAGATGTTATTAAAGAGAGGCTCCTGGACTAAGAGGCCCCCAGATGACGGCAGGTAATTTCCCCTTGTTACCTCTGCGTACAGGAGTGGGCGGACCTGCGACCTGAAGCTGCCTTGCCAGGAAGGGCTCCGGTTGTCCTGAGCCTGGGGACACACCCCTCCACTCAGACCCAGCCTCAGTCTGTGCAGGGTTAGAGAGCCTCAGCCCTGAGCCTCTGTTTTCATTCCTCCTCAGACCCAGTTCAGCTTTTTTTTCTCTGCAGAATAGGCTGGGGTAGGAGGACAGGGAGGACTGACATCGGAGAGGATCCTAGCTAACAATGTTAGAAATTTAGGGTAATTTCCTCTATTTACTTCACCCTAAAAAAAGAGAGAGAGAGAGAGACTTAT